TCTGAACAAATACCTTCTCAACCCCTGCACCCATAGCTTCCCCTTGTCTTGGCCCTTCTGAGCAAAGTGAAGGTTGTATATACCTTGCGTAACCACTTCGTCTTCTGGTTATGGTTTCCGTACACGAACGGAGCGTCTATCATGTTCGGCATTCTTGTGCCCTTCATCAACCGGTTCGTGCGCAAGCTGCCCGACACCACTGTCAGCGATGACAAGAAGGGGATTATTGCGTCGCTGTTCCACGCAGTCTTCCCCGCTTCTGTCAGGTGGATGGTGGTATGTGTATGACTAATACTGAATTATGATATATGTATGGCTTATGATTTCAGTGAATTAAGTCATAAGTTCAAGTTCTAAGCACACTTGTGCACTTGATGAATTTTACGAAGTGAATCTGCGAGAGAATAACTTTGCCGTGGAATAATTCAAAATTGAATATCCTAACTCAAATTCATCAATCGAAGTTCCGCTGACACGAGATCACACGGTTGTAGATATTTGAATGGAGATTTCGTACGTTAATGTCCGCTTGTTGGGCAAGGCATCATTACACGTTCATGGTATTCAATCAGCGGAGAGACAGATACATCAATATGTAAATAGCATTCTTTGGATGTTCTTCCGTATCGGTATGATTATCATCAAGGCAGTACCGTCTGAAAAGTAGAAAAGATTTCAGCTTCTGCTGTTGGATAGAAAAATAACACCTGTAACTGTTCATGGTTTAAATGCTAGGATTGGGTGCTGCAAGTAGGACCTGTTCTCGTGGTCTCACTCCCCTTCTTCTTGACACCGGGAATTATCACATCATACGGTGCGATTTTTGTGGGACAAGTGTATCCATGCTACATGAGTGTCACCACGCTGATACAGAATGGTGCTGTGCGTAGTAACGTCAAGGGGAAGAAGAAGGCTAAACAGTTGGCTGGTAAACGTATGTTGGGAACAAATTACTGATGTATTGATAATCGTGCTTAGTTTTCGTGAATATGCACGGACTCTACTACACGTTGCGTTGTGAAGTGGTCCGTTCATGCTGGACACTACAGGTGGTCGTGCGAATGTAGACAGAATTTGTTTGCAGCTATTGTTATGTACTTTTTTTAGTCGTTTACACAGGAAAGTACACGTATTAGTTTACTTTCGAATTCACAACCATTTAAGGTCCTTTTTTTCAGTTTCCGATCGCGTGGTTCTCTATGAGAATAGTTTATGAGATCTGAAATGATTGAGTATTTATTGTGTGTGGGCCGGCTGTGTTGAATCGCCCTCCGTCAGTTGAAGTGTCCTATTCAATTGTATTGACAAACATTTCTATCAACCGTCCACGCAAGCACGATTACAGAGCTTCTGTCGGAAAAGGGGTTTTTTATCTTAGTACCAATTATAAAGTGTTTTACCCATAGGTCACCTTGTCAGCAGAAAGCCATGTTTGTGAGTATCCGACTTTACCTAACCAGGTGGTAATTCAGATACTACACAACGATCTGATCCTAATCATCCTACATATTTATCTAAAACACAGTAAATCACTCGAGCACACATATACATATACATGTTTGACTGAGTTTATCGGAAGCCGTCTGATTCTTACACGCTTACAAGATCGAACTCCTCCGTATACAGCCTCAAAAAAGGTGCCAATGCCTAGAGGACACGAGAATGATGCAACACGACCAGAGGCAAGGCATGACGTGCACTGGCTAACGTACTGGTGCACCTACTCCCCTTTGCGCATGGGACTGCACGTGCTGATGGTGTATCTACCGTCTGTACCTGGGTGGTATCATATAGAGTTGGGTATGGTTATTTGGCTGATGATGAAAGGATCAGGCGTACTAGTCAACGAGCTTGATCTTCTTCTCTTCCGGTAGGTTGATAGTGATATTTTAGAGGGATGCATCCATGAAACCAACAGTTTAGTACGTTCATGGATGTTGCTATTAGTGTCAAATTTAGAGTTCATTCTCACTAGTGATTCTTTAAGCGAAGTTTACCTCAAAGCGGTACAACAAACCAGAAAATGTGCGACCAACTATTTTGACTATTACGTAGAAGTTTGTAATCTGTTATATTGTGCTTTCACACCCTTACGATTTTCAGACGGAATTGGAAGAAGCTTGACAATATTCAGCGTCAAAAGGGTATGATGGAGGTAGGGGAGGAGCCCGCTGTCAAGCTCACAGAAACAGAGATCAAGGATGAAAGCACGACAATCTCCGCTACGAAGACAATTGTAGCATCGCCGGCAATCAAAAGAGAGGGGCGCCACAAGGAACCGGAATTAGATGCTCAAACTACGTATGTGGCGTGTACGTGAATCTGTTATACTACAGTGTCTCGTTGCTGCATGATGGCATGAGTCTAGTGTAGATATCGAGTATTAATCAATTTAGCAGTGAGAAATCCGACATACGCGCGAGCATACTGTGTACACTTAGTGTTGGGGAGATTTAGTGCTGCATGTCTGCAATAGATCACAAAAAAAAAGGTGTGAATCTGCGCATAAGAAGATCCGCAATTGACATTTCTACACTTATTGTTGCCAACCCAACTGAAAATATGAATTTGATTAACCCACAATATATATATGGATTTTACCACAGCGAACAAACGCAGCTTCCTCTGAGATCGAATACTGATATTAGCACCGACGGCCCCCCTTCGTCATCAAGTAATGTGAGAAAACGGGTGGGCAAAACACCATCCACGGGCAAACTGAACCTGTAATGAGACTTACTTGACCCTCGCGTAAAAAAACACGGAATCGTGTTCAACTTCAATGGGTAAGGGCGAGCACGAGGAATTCAAGAACTTGAAATGGGTAACTGATTCGTGGGAGATTTTGCACACCAATTGAGAGCAGTCTGAGCGAACAGTAGAAATTAGAAGAGTACTCAATTGTACTATCGACTGGTAAACATATGAGCGACCTGAGGACATACGGGGAAGAAAATACGTTGCAAATAGAAAGCCAATATTAAAAATTTAGTAAAACAGTTATTAGTAATATGTAGGCGAGACTGTTTGCTGTCTAGTCACAGATTTTGGTATCTGTGATATTTATAGCGTCTTGCCGGAAGAGAAAGGGAAATCGGAAAAGTACTATGTACCAGGCCACTCTGATATAAAGGCGCCCCCCTCAAAGACGAGTGATTTACATTTCACAGCTATATATCGACAACATATCGTAAATATCGTAATACCAGCTTGTGACTCTTTCTCTCTATAGACTTAGAGAGAAGAAGAATATGAAAACAATTTATGTGGAAAATATGTCTGAGAGTGAGACGTGTGAACGGACTATTACGTCCAAAGGCTACACATACCAGTTACCAGTTACCAGTTACCACTCAAGAAGAGGCAGAATTTCCGGAAAGCCTCTTGTTTCTCATATGTTTTTTCAAAAAACAAACAAACAAAATAAATAAACAAGATAATGTGGGACAGATAGTCAGATACATACTGGGATTGTTCATTGTTGGAGTCCACAGTTATCACAGACCACATTCGGACATTCCACACTTTACATTTGCGCCTTGAGTCTTAGACTCCTGACTCCTGATTACTCTTCTCTCGACAAACCCTTACGTATGCCTAAAAATCTGACTCCTGACTCCATAGTCTATCAGTCAGACAGTCTATCCTCAAACCGTTTTTCGTTAAAACTTTTATAAATCGAATAAATATACGGTTACGTTCAACTTTTATTATAAAAAGAACTTAGGTAGGCTCTTCTGATCACACCTTATAATCGTTTAAACGTTCAAAAATTGAATATATATGTGTTTACGTTCAGCTTCTATCCCGTACCCCATTAACGTAATGAGCTAAACTCAGACTACATAGCAGTCTACTCTAGAGAGTATAGCACGCTCCTGACTCCATATATACAAAGTCAGAGTTTGAGATATGTACATGGACATACCTATGCATCTAGAGAGTATAGCACGTGCTCAAAAATAGTAAAAAGTTAAAACCTTTTTTAAAAGACTCAAGAGTGTACATATCATACCGGTGAAAAATATGTACTGTTATTGGTCCCAGACTCCCCGAATTCCAACATCTTCTTCATTGGTCCTTAAAAAGTTAAAAGTAAACAAATAAAAGTCTCAAGTCTCAAACTATTGTTGTAAAAAAACAAACAAACTACATATGTACAAATGTGTAGTATATGACTACGAGTAATCGGGTAAAGATACAGTACATAACTTTACAATAAGTCGGTAACAGGCTATGTATCAGCAACCAAAATAGCCAAAAACAGATGTCGTGACATAACCTGGAAAAAGAACAATGGTCGCGAGTAAAATAGGTGCCGAATATTTCCTGCTTCTGGGTCTTGTTTTAAAACTCTTTTGTGAGGTTTCAAACTTTTAATCACCATACAATAATTTTGTTTTCACATGGCCGGAGAGGATTCAGAACTATATAATGGGGTCGTGCAACACTCCCCGATCCAATTGGGTCGCATAATGTCGGTTCTATTCCGTGATCACCAGACGAGCAATGATTGAAAGGATTTGACGCAGAGGTTGTTAAGTATTATACCGCTGCGAACGTAAAACGCACTTAGCGCATACGACGCATATGCAAAGTTCGACATTCTTCAGAAGCCGGTTTCTACATATACTGTACATATACAAAGTGCTCAAAGATTGGCACAGACGCCGTGAAAGCTAAGAAATAATTTTAAAAGTCTGATCCCGTGATCCGGTTTGAACCAATCCTATCACTAATTACGTTACTGAGCTTTCATGGGCGGAGTCCCGGACACAGTTGCTTTGTACAATGGTCCACCGTTTGAACTCCTGCTAAGTCGTTACTTTTTAAGCGAGTCCTACCATCAATGTACCTTGTACTTGAACAGTTTTGTTATTCAGGAGCCGCTGTGGCTGAAAGGCTTTGGTAGCCGAGAAAAGGAATTGAGTATTATTCCGTTGTAGCTTTCAAAAAGAATGAACGGCGCCTGACTGTAGTATAAAAATTGAATAATGAGCAATACCCCAGAAAAATACCCAATGATTGATATTAGTGCACGGTGCACGTGCTGGGAAGATGGGGTAATGAGTACCTTTTTTTCTCTGTATGCACGCACTTCCATAGCGCGCACTGATACGCAAGCACTTGTACAAAACCTCGATTGTCAGAAACTGGGGAGAATTAATGTCCAGATAATTTCACAAGAACACTGTATCTTCTCGACGAAGCACTGGATATACATGTTGACTGCTTATTCATAGATCGAGCGACACTCATACTTTTGGAAATCTCTAAAGGGTCCGAGAATGTACACCTACTCACGCAAGTTGAATATCGGTGATATCGCAATATGCAAACGGAAAGCGCATGAAAGTTTTGAGGGTGCTTACCGAAAGGTGATTTCGGAGGAAATGACAGGACAAGCTTAGATGATTGGCTTTTAGAAGGGTCAGAATTCAACCCATGTTTGGGTGGGGGATATATTTCGGAAGAAGCTCTCTTCAATTAGTAAAAGTCTAGGAATCAAGATCAGTGTTGTCTTGACATGGCATGCTATGAATGGCCCTGCTACGATTTCATATTTACCTGCTACGATTTCATATTTAGTTGATAAAAAGCAACAGATATTGTACAACTACATTTATCTTTTTTTGGTTATTACTTTTCGGTGGCAGCAGCGCGGCAATCCCAGTCCCCAGGGCAAGTGTTGTTCTTAAGTACTTGATGAGCTATCTTAAGTATAGCAAAAATACTAATACGAATAGAGTGACACGTGCGAGGGAGTCTTGGTAGCTTGTGAGCAGACGGGACCTTGTTTTGTAACTCAGTCCGAATTTCGCGTTGTAAGCTGATATTTTTGTGAATCGTCTAGATATTCACCGGCTGAATGTAGGGTACATTTTGAGAGACGATTATTCTGGGAATCGTAGTTGCTTGAAAAAACACGTATACTATTTGAATTGAATGCTGAAACGCGAGCGGTATTGCAGCATAGTTCGCATATTTCATCGACCCAAACACGCCATTGAATACACTGCCGATCCTTTCATAGTTCCGAAATGCGTATGTTATACGACAGCAACGATGAACTATGATCCCGAATGCAAAAGTTTATTCTTTTTTAAAAAGAACTTTTCGTGTGTAAATATATATATACATCATGTTCCAGAAGCAACTTATATATACTATGGAGCACAAAAGAAACGCAAATTTTTATGTCTTTTTAGAACGCTCTCTTGTTTTCAGGTCTCTTGGCTCTATGGATTCATACATACTAAATATGACTTTTTTTGTGTAATCCAACTGTACAAATCTATAAAAATAATAATAAATGAAAGGGGACCTGAGGACAAGAAAGTGCATATCATATCATCTGCTTCGATATGTATATACCATTCGTAGCAACTAGTACGTTCATGAAGCGCTGCTGTCGCATGTGAACATCCATAAAGTGTCAACGCAAACAAGCGATCAGTTATAGAGCCAAACAGATGGCTGACTGACGGCCCGACAAAGTTAAGTTGTTAAGAGCGTCTTTCGGAGAGAACGCCACAGAGCAGCTCCACGGGGAAGCGGCTGGGAATTCAAGTGGAACATTATCGAGCTTCCAGTATGCCGCCTTTAGTGATTCCTGTGGTAACATGGGGGAGGCGACCTCCGCATCATGCTATTACAGCCATCATGGTGGCAAGGGACCATGTAAGTAGGTTCTGCTTTTTTTGACACACTAACACGGCTAGCAATTCAACGCTTTTGCACTTGCATACTATGGACAAACACACACATACACACTCTCTTTCTCTCTAGCTTTTCCTCTATATATATATATATATATATATATATATATATAACACACACAACAACA